GTCACAATTCTCACACTAGGGGAGATTGAGGTTGTTTTTAATTTTTTACATAAAATTAAGAACTTCAATCTTACATAATATTAAATTTAATACTTAATCTGATGTTATCTTTCAATTTAACCTATAATAATAATATAATACAAACCCTGCCTATGGCTTCTGCGTTGTTTTATACATCACTTGCCAGTTAGGGAAATAATTCAGCAGTCATAGGCAGGAATATACACTTTGTAAATTTTAAAAATAGAAAGGCTGTAAACAAAATACAAAAAGAAAAATACGCTTGCATTTCAATAAAAGTATATTATACGCTTGAAGTAAAAAATGTTTTTTTAACGATTGTGTGCTAATAACTGAAATGCATCTTCATTTAGCTTAGGATGCCCTTGTTACATTTAAAAATACAAGTTGAGAAAACATGACAATTCCTAATCTAGAGCAATGAGGTCTCATGAGAATGCAAATGTTTCCTGTACATATATAACACGAGGGAACCCTCAGTAACCGCGGCACTTGAAATTCCTTTAGGCAGGATTAGAGTATATCAATCCACGAGACCTCTTTTTATTAGCTATATTTTCGTGCGCCAGCAATACCAAGCGTGGGGAGCGGCGTATACTCCATTCAGGATCTCTACCAGCTTACCCTCAAACTGAAATTATTTTAGGCAGGATTAGAGAAAATTGGTCTAGGAAACCTTGGGCGTGGTCAAATACATCGATCTAAAGGGTTTGATCTTCTGAGTCCAAAACTGTAATTAGCTCTTAAATTGATCAAGGGATGACAAAGCTATGAGCTAAAAGTTTGTACTTGAAAAAAAACAAAAAACTCAGAGCCGTTCTCTGAGACGTTATGCCACTGCTAAAAGGTAGAATTTATTGTGTAAAATAAAATAAAATTACTCGCAATTATCTCCAAGTCACAATCTAGGGCGGATTAAGGCAGGTGCTGTAACCCAAGGCACGGGCTAAAAAAAACCCTATTATATAAAAAAGATCTGTCTTCATTTGTTAAGTAAAATGCTTAATAAAAATCATTCAGTTAAGTCTACTTATTTTTGAAGGGAGAGAGACTGAGTGTGACTAGGTGTAGTCCAACTCTGACCAAGCATATTTGCATACAACTTGCAATCTAAATATGCTAGGTCTAAGCAAGACTATACATATTCACTTTAATGGATGATAGGCCTTGACCAATTAAAATATCTTCACTTAACATTTTCATGACGCTGTTAATCATATTACTCCCTCTCGGCTTGTGCCATACACGCCCTTTCGTATGTATGATCAAGCAGTAGGCTAAACTAGACTAGACCTAAGTTGCTAGGCTGGAATGAAGATATCTCTCAATTCTTCATTCTCAAAGGCTTCGGGTTTTATTCAACAAAAGAGTTCAATAATCGCCAACAACCTCTCTGGAGGTTGATGACCATCAACATTATCATATCAAATCGAGCCTTTTCCCTCAACCGGAAAGTGCCGAAAACATAACCAGCAACTAAGACTGAAAACAATCATGTAAAGATTACAACTCTCGATGGTGAGGATTGTCCACCTCATCAAATTGAATCAAGCCTTTACAAACAAGAAAAAAATAATTATTGTAATGGCAATGAAGATACTAACTCATCCTTTACATTCGAACTGGGACATGGACACATGTTTCTGACAAAACAAGGTATTTTGTTTGTGCGTTGGAGGTTGCCTCTATCCAGTACATGATTGTGAGTTTCAGTACATCTACAAAATCGGTTGTGGGTCACAAGTATAAACGGCAATGCTCAAAGACTTTTTTTTTTATCACGAGCAACTGAATGGAGAAAAAGTTAAAAGAGACTGGCTTTGCTACTCACCATCGAAGGGGAACATCTGCGTTATATGCAAATTGTTTTCAACAGCAATGAAAACTTCTTTACTAGCAACAACTGGTTACTCTGACCAGAAACACGCTATAAGGGACTTTATCCTGCATGGACGAGGCTCGCTGCATCAAAGTTGTGTCACCAAATTTGTTATTTGTAAAACCAAAAGGCGATGAAACGACAAGACTTTAACAAAGCAGATGAAGTCAGAGGAAAAAACAAAACAAACAAACGCTGGCACCAAGTTCTAGAGCGTATTCTCTGAACCAAAAAGTTTCTATCATCCAGAGGGCTAGTATTCAGAGGAAGTTATGAAGTAGTTGGTTCAGTTCGTAATGGCAATTACTTAGGAATACTGGAACTATTGGCTGAGTATGATACATTTCTTGCTGAACACATTCAAAAAACACACAAATACGGGAAAATGTAATGTTTTATACTTATCCTCAACTGTTTGTGACAAATTAATAGAAATCATACACAAAGATGTTATTACCACTATTATCCAGGAAATCAAAACATCTAAGTATTACTCAGTGTCTGTTGAATCTACTCTAGACATATCCCACACGAATCAACTGACAATAATCTTTAGATAGGTTCTAGATAATGGCCCTGTAGAGAGATTTGTCACATTTTTACCAATATGCAACCATGCAGAAGCAGAACTTGCTAGAGTTCTCATTAATTTCCTTGCAAAGAATGATATAAGAACTCAAGATAGCCGTGGGCAGTCTTACGACAATGCATCCAATACTGGCGGCAAATATGTTGGTATGTAAGTCTTGATCAAAGAGGACAACCCTCTAGCAGACTATGTTCCCTGCTGTACTAATTCTCTCAATTTGGTTGAGCAATGTACTGTGGACTGCTCTACTGAAGCTTATTTATTCTTCGCCTTAGTGCAGAAGCTTTATGTATTTTTCTCAGCTTCAACCTGTCTCTGGAAGTGCTTACATGATTTGCTTGAAAAACTAGGATTCCTTATGATAAACAGTTTATCGATTTACTTTTCCTTACATGGTCAATCGCTGTTATATAACCGCTCTTATGCATTCAATAAGTGTGCACAATATTTCTTCTTATTGCATACATATGTGCCACACATGGGACATTTTGTGATATGCATATATTCTCCATTTTTCAAACATTTGAAATACGGTGAAATGCCTAACAAGTGCTTCACTGGCACTTTTGTATATAGAAAATTACTTATTAGAATCGCTTGACACCGAACATATCATAAATGCCTTAGCTACAAAAAGAGCCAGGAGGACAGTAGTTTAACCAAGTACAGATGACAAGATCTCCTACTATTGCTGGGCTTGCTATGCGAGTACCTATGTGATCTAAGCGTGTGAGTTGTGGAGTTTATGTGCAAGTGGTTTCTTTCTGTCTATATTCTTTGTTTTCCAAATGCAAATTTTGCTTGTGTTAGAACACCACTTTTCCAATTCAAGAAACATTTAATATTGTTCATTAATTTGTAGACGAGTCTTGCAAATCTGTGCGTATTATTTTCCCATTGTCCCCAAAAATAAAATATATCTTGAAGTTTAGTTTTACCATAGTCTTCAACCGCGATCATAATAGGCCCAGTAGAAAAATTTAGCCCCAGGCTAGTCTGACCTTTAATCTACCCCCGAGACTCAGTGCTTAAATTTTCGAGTCACACACATTGTCGAGTTTGAGTCCGAATTACTAAATACGCGACTTGACTTCGAATCCTGGATCCGAGTACCAAAGGTCTGCCAAATACCAATAATGTTCTTAAATCACCTTCAATATGCACTAAAAAGTAACTTTAAACTAATGAAATTAACTATATTGCCTATTTCAATTATATTATCATAATTCTGGGGTATCACTTTCTTTGT